TTTTCCCACATAATTTGAAGAAAACTTAGGCCCTTAGGCTTTGCGAAAAAACAATTTTTCAAGCTCCGAAAAATTGTTGTTTTTTTTCGCGCGTGCTTGGACTGCTTCCAATGCGGTGTAATTGTGAAAGAGCAGACTACAGGAAAACAACAAAACGACATATTGACAGACCCTGTTATATGCCCAAAAAGCCCCCCTCCGAGATACGAACGTCCAACCTTCAAGCCTGAAGTCCACCACGCCACGCTAACCATTACGCGACAGGAGCCTTGCCAGGAAGGAATTTTGCTTTTCATTCTCTCTCTTTGCTTTGGCTGCAAAGGGCTGGGTTTAGCACGGGTTGCAGTTGCGGAAAAACAATTTTTCGGGCTCTATATATTTTTTTTTTTTCGCGCTGCTCTTATGACACTCAGAGACGCCCGGCTTCCCAAAAAAACAACTTTTCAGGCTCTGAAAGATTGTTTTTTTCCGCGCTATTCTTTGAAACTCAAAGAAGCCCGGCTTTGCAAAAAAACAACTTTTCAGGCTCTAAAAAATGTTTTTCCCCAGATAGCTGGCAAGCTATAGGGGTTCTTACTTCTCAAAGGTGGGGTCTTCGGTGGCGAACTTTTGAGCAGGGTGCTGTGCAGGGTGCTGTGCAGGGTGCTGTGCAGGGTGCAGTCCAGACTGCGGTGGCGATGTCTGGCAAAGGTGCTGTGCAGGGTGCTGTGGAGGGTGCTGTCCAGACTGCGGTGGCGAAGTCTGGCGAAGGTGCTGTGCAGGGTGCTGTGCAGGGTGCTGTCTAGGCTGCGGTGGCGAAGTCTGGCAAAGGTGCTGTGCAGGGTGCTGTCCAGACGCGAAGTTTGGCAAAGGTGCTGTGCAGGGTGCTCTGCAGGGTGTTGTTCAGAGTGCGGTGGCGAAGTCTGGCAAAGGTGCTGTGCAGGGTGCTGTGCAGGGTGCTGTGCAGGGTGCTGTGCAGGGTGCTGTGCAGGGTGTTGTACTAGTGCGGTGGCGAAGTCTGGCAAAGGTGCTGTGCAGGGTGCTGTGCAGGGTGCTGTCCAGATTGCGGTGCAGAAGTCTGGCAAAGGTGCTGTGGAGGGTGCTGTGCAGGGTGCTGTTCAGACTGCAGTGGCGAAGTCTGTCCAAGGTGCTGTGCAGGGTGCTGTGCAGAGTGCTGTTCAGACTGCAGTGGCGAAGTCTGGCAAAGGTGCTGTGCAGGGTGCTGTGCAGGGTGCTGTGCAGGGTGCTGTGCAGGGTGCTGTCCAGACTGCGGTGGCGAAGTCTGGCAAAGGTGCTCTGCAGGGTGCTGTGCAGGGTGGGTGCTGTCCAGACTGCGGTGGCGAAGTCTGGCAAAGGTGCTGTGCAGGGTGCTGTGCAGAGTGTTGTCCAGACTGCGGTGGCGAAGTCTGGCAAAGGTGCTGCGCAGGGTGCTCTGCAGGGTGTTGTCCAGACTGCGGTGGCGAAGTCTGGCAAAGGTGCTGTCCAGACTGCGGTGGCGAAGTCTGGCAAAGGTGCTGTGCAGGGTGCTGTGCATGGTGCTGTCCAGACTGCGGTGGCGAAGTCTGGCAAAGGTGCTGTGCAGGGTGCTGTGCAGGGTGCTGTCCAGACTGCGGTGGCGAAGTCTGGCAAAGGTGCTGTGCAGGGTGCTGTGCAGGGTGTTGTCCAGACTGCGGTGGCGAAGTCTGGCAAAGGTGCTGTGCAGGGTGCTCTGCAGGGTGTTGTCCAGAGTGCGGTGGCGAAGCTGTGCAGGGTGGTGTGCAGACTGCGATGGCGAAGTCTGGCAAAGGTGCTGTGCACGCTGCTATCCAGACTGCGGTGGCGAAGTCTCGCAAAGGTGCTGTGCAGGGTGCTGTGATGGGTGCTGTCAAAGGTGCTGTGCAGGGTGCTGTGCAGGTTGCTGTGCAGGGTGCTGTTGCTGGGCTGTGCAGGGTGTGTGCAGGTGCTGTGCGAGTGCGGTGGGCGAATGGACGAAGCTTGGCGAAGCTGTGCAGGGTGCTGTGCAGACTGCGATGGCGAAGTCTGGCAAAGGTGCTGTGCACGCTGCTATCCAGACTGCGGTGGCGAAGTCTCGCAAAGGTGGTGTGCAGGGTGCTGTGAAGGGTGCTGTCAAAGGTGCTGTGCAGGGTGCTGTGCAGGTTGCTGTGCAGGGTGCTGTGCAGGGTGCTGTGCAGGGTGCTGTGCAGCGTGCTGTGCTTTGGTTCCCACGTTGGGAACGGTCAGTTCCAGACTTTAGGAACCGGAAGTTTTTTGCAATGGTAACCTATGGTTCCCAGGTTGGGAAGCATGAGTTCCAACCTCTGGTAACCGGCAGTTGCTTGCAATGGTAACCCATGGTTCCCAGGTTGGGAACCAGGAGTTCCAACCTCTGGGAACCGGCAGTTCCTTGCAATGGTAACCTGTGGTTCCCACGTTGGCAACAGTGAGTTCCAACCTTTGGGAACCGGCAGTTCCTTGCCATGAACCAAACGCAAAAATTCCGGTATAAGCAAAACAAAGGGTTTCTGTACCGGTCCATTAAACGAAACCATAAAGTTGTAAAGAAACTGTTTTCATATCATTTTGACACGCACCTTATTCGTGCAAAAACATTTTTATGCCGGCCCAACAGCCAAACGCAAACATTCCGCTACCGGTCCATTAAGCAAAACAAAAGGTTCTGTTACCAGCTCAGTAAACAAAACAAAACAACATTAAGAACCATGAGTTCTAACTTTTTGCAATCAACAGATCCTTCCACTGGTAACGTTACTTTTTCAGGCTTGGAACCATGAGTTTCAAGCTTTGGGAACCCACAGTTCCTTTCAATGAAAGCCGCTTAGCTTCGAAAACATAAATTCTAACTTCTGGGAACCGGCAATTCCTTGCAATGGTAACCTCTGGTTCCCAGGTTGGGAACCGTAAGTTTCAAGGTCTGGGCACCGGCAGTTCCTTGCCATGGTAACCTTTGGTTCCCACGTTGGGAACCATCAGTTCCAACCTTTAGGAATTGGAAGTTCTTTGCAATGGTAACCTATGGTTCCCAGGTTGGGAAGCATGAGTTCCAACCTCTGGGAACCGGCAGTTGCTTGCAATGGTAACCTCTGGTTCCCAGGTTGGGCACCATGCGTTCCAACCTGTGGGAAACGGCAGTTCGTTGCACTGGTATAACCTGTGGTTCCCACGTTGGCAAGCGTGAGTTCCAACCTTTGGGACCCGGCAGTTCCTTGCCATGAACCAAACGCAAACATTCTGGTACCGGTCCATTAAGCAAAACAAAGCGTTCTTTACCGGTCCATTAAGCAAAACCATAAAGTTGTAAAGAAAATGTTTTCCTATCATTTTAACATGCACCTTTTTCGTGCAAAAACATTTTTTTGCCGGCCCAGCAGCCGAACGCAAACATTCCGCTACCGGTCCATTAAGCAAAACAAAATGTTCGGTTGCCGGCTCAGTAAACAAAACAAAACAACATTAAGAACCATGAGTTCTAGCTTTTTGGAATCAACAGATCCTTCCACTGGTAACGTATGCTTTTTCAGGTTTGGAACCATGAGTTTCAAGCTTTGGGAACCCACAGTTCCTTACAATGAAAGCCGCTTAGCTTCGAAAACATAAATTCTAACTTCTGGGAACCGGCAATTCCTTGCAATGGTAACCTCTGGTTCCCAGGTTGGGAACCGTAAGTTTCAAGGTCTGGGAACCGGCAGTTCCTTGCCATGGCAACCTTTGGTTCCCACGTTGGGAACCATCAGTTCTAACCTTTAGGAACTGGAAGTTCTTTGCAATGGTAACCTGTGGTTCCCAGGTGGGAACCGGCAGTTGCTTGCAACGGTAACCTCTGGTTCCCAGGTTGGGAACCAGGAGTTCCAACCTCTGGGAACCGGCAGTTCCTTGCAATGGTAACCTTTCCCACGTTGGCAACAGTGAGTCACAACCTTTGGGAACCGGCAGTTCCTTGCTATGAACCAAACGCAAACATTCTGGTACCGGTCCATTAAGCAAAACAAAGCGTTCTTTACCGGTCCATTAAGCAAAACCAAAAAGTTGTAAAGAAACTGTTTTCATATCATTTTAACATGCCCCTTTTTCGTGCAAAAACATTTTTCTGCCGGCCCAGCAGCCGAACGCAAACATTCCGCTACCGGTCCATTAAGCAAAACAAAATGTTCGGTTGCCGGCTCAGTAAACAAAACAAAACATTAAGAACCATGAGTTTTAACTTTTTGGAATCAACAGATCCTTCCACTGGTAACGTATGCTTTTTCAGGTTTGGAACCATGAGTTTCAAGCTTTGGGAATCCCTTACAATGATAGTTGCTTAGCTTCGAAAACATAAATTCTAACGTCTGGGAACCGGCAGTTCCTTGCCATGGTAACCTTTGGTTCCCAAGTTGGGAACCGTCAGTTCCAACCTTTAGGACCCGGAAGTTCTTTGCAATGGTAACCTATGGTTCCCAGGTTGGGAAGCATGAGTCCAACCTCTGGTAACCGGCAGTTGCTTGCAATGGTAACCCATGGTTCCCAGGTTGGGAACCAGCACCAGCAGCAGCAGCAGCAGCAGCAGTGGTAACCTGTGGTTCCCACGTTGGCAACCGTGAGTTCCAACCATTGGGAACCGGCAGTTCCTTGCCATGAACCAAACGCAAAAAATCCGGTACCGGTCCATTAAGCAAAACAAAGCGTTCTTTACCGGTCCATTAAGCAAAACCAAAAAGTTGTAAAGAAACTGTTTTCATATTATTTTAACATGCCCCTTTTTCGTGCAAAAACATTTTTATGTCGGCCCAACAGCCAAACGCAAACATTCCGCTACCGGTCCACTAAGCAAAACAAAAGGTTCTGTTGCCGGCTCAGTAAACAAAACAAAACAACATTAAGAACCATGAGTTTTAACTTTTTGAAATCAACAGATCCTTCCACTGGTAATGTTACTTCTTCAGGCTTGGAACCATGAGTTTCAAGCTTTGGGACCCCGCAGTTCCTTACAATGATAGCCGCTTAGCTTCGGAAACATAAATTCTAACTTCTGGGAACAGGCATTTCCTTGCAATAGTAACCTCTGGTTCCCAGGTTGGGAACCGTAAGTTTCAAGGTCACAAGGTCTGGGAACCGGCAGTTCCTTGCCATGGTAACCTTTGGTTCCCACGTTGGGAACCATCAGTTCCAACCTTTAGGAATTGGAAGTTCTTTGCAATGGTAACCTATGGTTCGCAGGTTGGGAAGCATGAGTTCCAACCTCCGGTAACCGGCAGTTGCTTGCAATGGTAACCTCTGGTTCCCAGGTTGGGAACCATGAGTTCCAACCTCTGGGAACCGGCAGTTCCTTGCAATGGTAACCTGTGGTTCCCACGTTGGCAACCGTGAGTTCCAACCATTGGGAACCGGCAGTTCCTTGCCATGAACCAAACGCAAAAAATCCGGTACCGGTCCATTAAGCAAAACAAAGCGTTCTTTACCGGTCCATTAAGCAAAACCAAAAAGTTGTAAAGAAACTGTTTTCATATTATTTTAACATGCCCCTTTTTCGTGCAAAAACATTTTTATGCCGGCCCAGCAGCCGAACGCAAACATTCCGCTACCGGTCCATTAAGCAAAACAAAAGGTTCTGTTACCGGCTCAGTAAACAAAACAAAACAACATTAAGAACCATGAGTTTTAACTTTTTGGAATCAACAGATCCTTCCACTGGTAACGTATGCTTTTTCAGGTTTGGAACCATGAGTTTCAAGCTTTGGGAATCCCTTACAATGATAGTTGCTTAGCTTCGAAAACATAAATTCTAACTTCTGGGAACCGGCAATTCCCCTCGCAATGGTAACCTCTGGTTCCCAGGTTGGGAACCTGTAAGCTTCAAGGTCTGGGAACCGGCAGTTCCTTGCCATGGTAACCTTTGGTTCCCACGTTGGGAACCATCAGTTCCAACCTTTTCTATCTGGGGTCTATGCCGGTGTAATTTTCCACACTGCGCTTATGAAACTCAGAGAAGCTCGGCTTTGCAAGAAAAACAATTTTTCAGACTCTATTTTTTTTTTCACACTAACCTTATGAAATTCAGACAAGCCTGGCGTTGCAAGAAAAACAACTTTTCAGGCTCTAAAAAATTGTTTTTTTTTCCGCGCTGCTCTCATGAAACTCAGACAAGCCCGGCTTTGCAAAAAACAATTTTTCAGGCTCTAAAACATCATTTTTTCGCATGCCTCTTGTCAAATCTGCCAACTCCACCTCGTTACCTCGTTTAAGCTCGCTCCAAATTGTGCAGATGCATGCAATACATAACTAAGAATGCCCTAAGAATTTGAGGGACCCTCGGCCTGTTGTGGTGTAAATTTGCCTGCATTAAAAAATTAGAATTTGAGGGACCCTGGGCCTCAAGCTTTCGGATTCTTAACCAGCGCTCGGGCTGTATTTAATATTAGATAATCAAAACCATCTAGCATCTTAAATCTTAATTTATCTCATTGTTTTTTAGCCCAACATGCCCGCATAGTATTGCATCAACGCCTCGCATCATCTCGCATCAAAGAATCATTGAAATCAAGCGACAGGAATAGGCAATGGACTCCTGAGGCTGTTTCTCCAGTAATGCTGGGAAGATGCTCCACCCATGCACCTGCTGCTGCTGTAGCTGCAGCAATTGGGCTTGCGCCGCCAGCGCCATGTGTGCCTCTCATGTGTCCGCTCCAATTCTTATTATGTAAGCATTTGCAATGGTCTGATGTTTGTCTCATTCAGACTCTGACCGGACACACAAAATTTATGAGTTTTTGTCAATTGGATCAAACATATGGACAATCCATTTGCCATATAGTTGACAACTAATGGATCATTTTGACAACTGACCTGCAGCACAACCCATTTGCTGATCACCTTTGGCCGGCCTGTTGAGCCTGAGCAATGGCCACAGGGGTCAAGGCTCCAGGCACCTGGCGCAGCTACCCATTAGGATTGTATAATCTATGGATTACTATGGGTTAAAATGGGATTACTTTGGATATAATACTGTACTATTGTAATGAATTTTGATTGAAATATTGATGCTAATCTTGATTGATTCATATCTGCACGTATCATTGAATCCTATTGATTAATATTGATTAATATATTTACTAATATTGTATAGTATCAAAATGCACAACTGTCAATCAAAATTACAGTTGCCTTCCAGTTGTATCGATGATTCTTTGGGTATCTGAAAAAAATCTTGCAGCGGAAAATACCTGGCTACGTCAACTGGCTGCATACAAATGATCCTTGAAACTATCAGCCGCGTTTTGATATTTCACTCCAATCTTTCTGTTGGTCAACGTGTATTTTGGGTTGGTACAACGTTAACAGGGGTTGGCTCCAACCCGGCATCATGCTTTACTCATTACAACGGGATCTTCTTGCATTCCGTGTGCTTCTCTTCTCTTCAAGAACACAAAGGAGCTGCGTTTTCACCCGACATGGATATACCTATATATATGATATGATATGATATAATTAGATATTGGACTGGACTCCTGGACACATAGGATTTCCATGGATGGATTTGTGTCCAACATGACCCATGGTTGCCGCTTCCCCACCTGTGGCACCGGTGACCTCAGCTGACATGGAGTCATGGAGTGGCAACTCCAATAAATACATGGTCGAAAACCAAGGAAGAAAGTGACAGAAAGTGAGTATAGTATAGTCTAGTAATAGTCTAGTAAACTTATGTAAACTTAGTGAAACTAAGTGATTGGACATATGAACGAACATGCTTCATATGCATTCATATTCACATGCCCATCATTTTGGATGGTGGGTGTACCACCGCGGTGAGCTGCGCACGGCGCCTCTTGCTCCTGTCATGGATTCCCGATTCAACGGATATCAACGGATTCCTGGGTGATATGGAATTGGGATAACACGGATAACACGGATAACACATCTACATGTGTTAAATTATTGTGTGTTATCCAATAGGCATGATTTATTATATCTATTATCAATAGTTACAATAGTTGTTTTTTTGGGATAACACACAAGAATATATTTAATAAATGTAGATGGGGATGGGGATAGTACCCAATCCTATCAAAACGGGATTCACCTCCAAACTTTCCAACATCGCGAGGAGACTTTCATTATATTCGAGCACCGAGTGGCGATGGGACAAAACAAACCCAAACAATGTGGTAAACATCGGCGAACCAAATAACCATTAGTAAATGGTTGTAGGCCTACCAAGAAATGTCTTCAATGACCTAATAATGACAATAATGATTGTCGATCCCCAATTTTACCAGAAATGAGCAGGATTCAAAACCATCCCAACTTGACGCTTTATGATCTTGAGTTTCCGACGTTCCATCCCCCATGGTTCCCCTTCCCATGAAATGCGCACATCACATCACTAATCCTAAATAGCACCAAAAAACAACACATTATGACATGAATATTTGGCTGTTCAGTCTATATTTCACATCAAATTAGCCAACTATATTCAACCATAAGAATTCACTACAAAGACAAGCTTGACACAGGATGATCACTGTTGATATCCTGTTGATATCCTGTTCCAGATCAAGGTCCCTCCACCCCATTCCTCCGACCTGGGCAGGGGGCTCGGGGTCTGGCACGACCGGTTCAGGCGGCGCAGGGGCCTCCGGAGCCTCCGGTGCCTCGCTGGCTCCGCCAGGTAACGCCTTGGCCAAGCTAGGATGACGTGCCAAAAACATCCAAAACATGGGATGACTTGGGGGCGGAAAAGGTCTGATTTCTGATGTTTCGAACTTTTTCAGGATCTTAAAGTTCTGAGCCGTTCTCAAATACTTAGGACTTAGAACGACAGAGAGCAGGATGGGCTGTTGATCCTATGTAGTTACAAGAGTAGCTTTATGGCAAATCAATGTATAGATCTGCCGGCGCCAGCAAAATGACTCTGAACCAACAAAGGCTGACCACACCACGTTCCACAGGCACTAAACATGGCACTGATTAAATACCCAAAATTATTCGATCCCCCAAAATTAGTGGATCAAAAATAAAATCATCCATAGCCACATGTTTTCATCACGAATTAAAAGCCTAGTTGCAGACAACAAAGCCTTCGTGAGCTCATCTGCACTGGAAGAAGTAGTTCCTGTGTGCACATGATCCACGCAATAAGGAAACATATTTGAGATATTTTGAGATATATATTTGAGGACGAGGGACTACAGCAAAGAGGACTGACAACGGGCAGGATAAAGCTGAAACAGTCAGAGAAAAAGATCCAAGAAGACTGTGGCTTGAGAATCTCAAATTGCTATGGCTGCTATGGTTATTGGAAGCAATGTTCATGGCTTTTTGAGCTGGTGGCATCTATGTCACTCAACAGGTTGAACAGAACAATGATCAACCCGACCTGCTGCAGGTGGAGCCTGACATCAAAATGGCACGTGGAGATGTTTTATTCAGCCCTGACGCAGCACACTTTGTATTTGCCGCATTCAATCTCAAAGTTGTTCAGCCGATTTGGCGTTGACAAAATGATCGTCAAAACATATTCCTATAGATATTCAAACAAATATAATGCGACTATGTAAAAGTATCCTGCAGAATTCGAGGCGACACTTTCTGCAACTTAAACGATATCGCAACTAATTTGCAATATTTTGCAATGCTTTTGAACATAACTTGCAATCGTTTTTACAGTATTCAATCATATTCAATCTATATAATATTCATTATATGTTGCTATAATAATAATATTCAAACATGTTTACAGTAGCAAGTTTCAGTTTCAGTCAGCCATATATTCCTCTGCCGAAACCACTGAAGCACAATCCACAACATCTGCGCCCGGACCTCTTCTCTGGGGGCTTCAGGCTGTGGCGGGGCAGGCTGCGGTGGCCTAAGGAGAGCCCGGTAGATGGGGATGGGGGCTTTATGGGGCTTTAATCATTGATTTTTCATGGGAATTGTTCACGATTTTCATTGTTTTTCCTATTATTAAATATGATTAAATCAAGTATTAAATTATTGTCAACCTCATTTTTGGGCATTTCTACTTTGACACTCTGAATCTGGAACTTTCTGAGCCCGAAGATTTGCTGCCAATCAACCACTCATTGGCATAGATTCCCAGCCATGGTCAGTTCCTTTTGTCTGGCTCTGAGCGCAGAGTGGATGACTTATCAAACACAAAGAGGGAGATTCCTTAATCCTCTGCGATCAATCAACAAAGATCAAGAAACAAATTCCAAATATATACACATACGGGAAACAAAACACATGGTTATGTGTATAACTGTGTATATATTATATATATTATGTATAAATCAATAATATCATACATTATCATACATATATCGATATAGAGAGGTGTCCATTTCTCCATTTCTGTCTGAGCCTGCGACTCAGGGGATCCTTGCGCTTGTGGTTGCAAGTGCTGTTGCTCCTGGAGCTGCTTTTGCTGCAGCTTCATCAGTTTCTGCTGCAACCTAAGAAGATCTGAGGACCCAGCGCTCAGTCGTGATGTGTTTCTGCGCATTGTTTGAATCACACAGTGGTCTCCAAGAAACTCTGCAGTAGACTCAATAGACAAACCCTGACAAAACATGTCAAGACAGTTCGACGAAGTTGGGTCATTTTCGTCATTTACACCATGTCGTTGCCCGCTTCTTATTTTGTCGCACATGCTCAAAGACATTCCAAATACCAATCCTGACGTGAAGCCCGCGTGCAAACGTCACTATGCACCCAGCTGCTCCATCATTCCGTGTGGCTGACCACCAGCAACGTTCCTGGTAGTAACCGAATTGTATTGGTTGCATCTGCACTGGTGGAAAGCTGTGAAACGCCTTTACCAAATACACTCTCTAATCATGCTTTGTCATTCAGAGGGCTGAAAGTGAACACAGTCTTTGGGCAATCAATTGTTTCACCCATCCCATCCATTTCCCTGCAGGATTTTTGTAGGTACGAGTATATAAATTTAACACCATGGGTGGTACGCTTATCACATGGAGCTTCAGGTTCTGAGAACTTTGCATTTGACTTTGCATCTCTTGCATCAGCTGATTTCGCTCTGCCTGGGCAGCAAGCAACTGAAAGATATGAATGTCGAAAGCCTAGTGCCTGATGGTTGGCGATGGGGTCACATGAACTGGTTCAATGGGGACCATCATCATCTATTCTACCCTGCTGTTCACACCAAACCATCTGGTAGCTAGAGATGTCCATTCACCCCAAACATGGGAAAACCAAAGGTCTCAATCCAGCCCCAACTGGTTTTATCAAAGCCCAAGGACTCATCGCCAGTCATAAGATTTCAAACCCAGGCTCCTCGTGAATCTATGGATCAAACCAAATTATCGAACACTTACCAAATCCGCAAAACAACCAAATTATCGAAAAAAACATCTAATTATGAAAACTGACCAGAAGTTTTATCACTACCCCAAGTATCCTACTGTGTTCAAATCGTTCCTGCAGGGCCGTAGGGCCATTGGTTGGGCCATTGGGCCCCAAAAAAAACCGCCTGGTGCTGTGTTCGCAGCTGCTCTAAGGCCGACGACCTCAACGGTTGAACATCCCCAACGATAAGTTCTTGGGCAATTGATGGCGATTCATGGTTATTCATGGCTATTCATTGCTATTGGGATACAATGATTTTCAATATTAGTTCCATTTAGTTCCCCTACTACTCATGTGTACTCATGTTCTGGTTTATACCGAATCCAGAACCACTCTGCGAAGGGGACTACATGGGACTACCGCAACCTGTGACACCACCAGAAACCACCAACCTTTGCCAGGAAATAACACTCAACAGCCAACACAACATGTATCAATATTCACCAAGCAAATACTAGATGATCGTCATGACAAATAAGATATGATAAAATGATTGTCGCTCAATGCTAGGACACTAATTGCTCAATGCTGGCTGCTGCTAAACTTCTGCTCCTGAGCTTCCCGCCCATTGGCCTGATAAACACGTTGCCGCTAATGCAGTGGATGCAGCATGATGCAGCAGCATCTCTTGATCAAACGAGCAGGTCTTGAACTAGTGCACATTTTGCACCTTTTGCATGTTTTGTATTCTAGATCTGTGTTAGACTATTTCATATTATTTCATGTGAGATTACTTTGGATCGATTTGAAAACTGCATTGCGAAACAGCAATGAGCGCCTCTGCGGCCGGTAGCCTAGGTGAAATGTACAGCTAGAAAAGACACATAGTTCAATGATGTTCAATGGACAAATGCTAAAGGGAAAATCACAAACCATCAAAAAACCATTGGGATCCTTGAGGTATAAATAGGTACAATATGGTACAATATTTTTGGACAAAGCCACTTCCCCGAAGCGAAGTGGCTTCAATGATGTTCACATTCCCCGCGAAAAATCTTCAGATCATTTGAGCTCATCATACCCAATAGATCCCAATAGGAATGGAATATGACAACTCGACCAATGAAACGTGTTGAAACCATCGACCAAACGATGTCAACAAATGTCTTCAGCAAGACCCATCTATTCTTGGTCAACTTTATCTTTGTCAACCGATATATGTTTCATCATGTTTCATCCAAACAACTCATTTTCATCCAAACATGAGGTACCCGTAAATCCAACGGTTTATTCGTTTCCGGTTTCCCATTATTAGTATTTTTCTTTTCTTCGGATGTACGGTATACCATGGTATACCTCATTTCTGGACAAAGCCAGGTGAAATCCATGCTGCTCACATACTGTGCTCCTCACTGTGTAGGCTCAGGCTTCTGTGTGGGCTCCGCTTGCCTCACAGTAGTTACCCTCTCCGAAACAAAATCCACAAACTATATCTACATATATCATCATATATCACATATAATCACATATATATAAACTCTATATATATATATACAATTATATACAACAAAATCAAGCAATCGTCCCAATCGCCACCGTATTTGATGCCTCTGTTGCAGTTGTTGCTGCAGCATGTGCTGCCGCTGTCGCAGCAGCAGCATCTGCTGCTGCATTTGCTGCTTCGCGATCAGTGGCAGCGGGCTTTGCATCTGCAACTGGATGGTGGCCACCTTCCCCGAAGCCGTGGGGGATGGGGGAGACCTCACCAAAACGCTACAATTGTGCTTCTAGGTCCTGCGATTTACATACAGCATGAAACTATACTATACTGTATATGTTAAACTATGTTTGGCTTATAATTATAATTCATATTGTTTTTCCTAAATGATCTAAATGGAACATGACAATGAATTTCACAAATTACTTTGTTCCATGATATTCCATAATGTTCAATTTGCATCGAACTGCCGTGGGGTCAGTGAGGCACCTGCTGCTGAATGACCTGAATCCTTGGCCCGTGCGTGCCGCTTCCATGCTACTTACAAGGTCCTTTTTTTGGCAATACCGGTAAAATATGGTAACATATTATAAATAAATGTACAAACTTGTATAAATAAATATAGATATTATATAAAAAAATGGTCCGTCTGTATTGGGTATGGTCAACCATAGTGAACTACAGAACCAACGTATCGCTCAGATTCCAGCAACATGGGCCATAGAAGAAAGCCCAACAACAAACCACAACAAACCCAATCGCATTAAGCCTCAACTGGGAACAGTGAAAAGTTGTGCTTTTTCATTCAATACCACTCAAACTTGGATTCTGAAAGCTGGGAAACAGTCAAACCGGGGCACTCTTCGGTGGAGGACAATTTGCTCGACCAAGCTTGACCAATCCATTGAAGGACCCACGCGCATAAATAGAGAATAAACCAATGTATCACTTTATAAACCCCCAGAGATCAGCCATCCAGCCATCCAACCAAAAAAAATCAACCATCAATCCCCCGCAGCAAGTGCAAGCATCTGCTGCAGCAGGGGATCATCTGCTCGCCTCATTGATCACAGCATAGCAAGGTCACCAGGAAACTACTGGTTGATTGTAGTTGCTTGATATCTCTTTCGTTTCTGATTCTATACTTTTCCGAAAAAGGAGTTAGAAAACAATAATGCCAGTTGTGTGACAATGTTCTTCTTCAACCCAGACCCTCTTGTAGCGTGGACGGAATCATTGCATGATGACTCTTACCACTGGTTTGCTGGCTTCTTTGGTTTGCTCTCTCGCTGCTCATACGGTATATGACTGCAAATCAGTATACCCAAAGCACTGCAGAAATCCTCCAAACGCCAAGTCTTTTGTCAAGCTGCGCAGAGTGTTCAGCTTCCTGCTCTGCTTGCGGCTGTACCTGCGGTACCTGCTGCGGTACCTGCTGGGGTACCTGGTGCGGTACCTGCTGCGGCGGTACCTGCTGCGGCGGTACCTGCTGCGGCGGTACCTGCTGCGGCGGTACCTGCTGCGGCGGTACCTGCTGCGGCGGTACCTGCTGCGGTGGTACCTGCTGCGGCGGTACCCGCGGCTGCTTCGGGACCGCTTGTGGCTGTGGCACGGGCTGATCTTCTGGCCCCTGGCAGCAGGATATGGGAATGGGCCCCTTGTCAAGGAATGAGGAATGAACATTGTTCAAGATGAAGAAAGCGAATCTTGTGTTGAGGTGATGGGTAAGTCGATCGGACCATAAAGGACGATCAAGGCTGGTTGCAACTATATAGGCCTATTCAGTGCATGAAGCGCTGTACTCGCAAGACATGAAGTCAAGCGCAAGTGTTTTGGACCAAAGTTTCAAAGCCTTTTCCTTAGAACAACATAGAACAACAAGCTTCTGTGGGCGGCCTCTGCGTGCTAGAATTTTGGGCCCCACAAAACACTTTGCAAGTCAACAGCCCACTGCTCCCAAACCTGACGCTCAAAATCTACCAAGAACAAATTGGATAAGCACATACGAAACAATACAAAACATGCCAGAAATTGAGGTCTCAAAAGCATGTCCGTTCTGTCCGATCACCCTGATCAGCTAACCTTCGGCGGCTCCTCATTCTCAAGCTGCTCCATCTCTTGTTGCAGCTGTCGCTGCTGATGCTGCAGCAGGTTGTGCTGGTTCTGGATCTGCGACCACGGCGAAAGCTGTCATGTTTTTTCGTGCCAAGCTCGGCGACATCAATCCATTTTGCGAAAGCTTGAAGTCCTTCTTGCTATGTCCAAATATACAACATGTTGTAACATGTTGTACTTGCTGCAGCTCATTAATGCGTTCCAATCGAAGTGGATGCAATTCACAACAGCAACAGGATGACATGTTGATGCGATTGCCATCACGCCATCCAACCTGTTGCTTTTGGACAGGTGATTGGACCTTGAGACAATCTGATTCAAGCTGATAGCATGTGCTATCACCAATATACATCTATCATCTGACTTTAGCTGAGCTTCCCTCATCACACAACAACATGACTGCAATGATGTATATATATATATATACGTATATATACTATATTATTAACATTAATCACGAATTATTATTATTACTAATATATATTAATATTATATACACATTTATAGCCTCTGGTAGGAGTGCAAGAATGTGTATCTGAGAATGGCTGCTACGGTGCGCTTCACGGCTGAAATCGGGATCCCAGGCTGAGTTCCAATGTCGAACCTGCGATCATCCAGTTCTGCATGGAGAGTGCTAAACGGATCAAACGTGCAAAACATGTGCAAACGCTCAAGAGCATGTATCATCATGCATCAACTTGCGACACATTTTTCAACAGACCTTGTAACAATCATGAATCATGCAACAAACAGTCTGCCTTTACAATCACTAAAAAGGACATTACCAAAATCTGGGGTTCCTTCGGCAGCTCATCCATCCTATGCTTTTGTCTGAAAATAGAGTACTCCATTCCATCCTCTGCCCAAATGTTTGGTTGAATGTTCCTCAAGAATTGAAGGCCAATGATTCCATTGAGCCGATATCCAATGGTTTAACGCCAGATATTTCGCATCAAATTTGTTACATGTCATGAGCATCTTTTGCCATATCCATCTGTGTACGGCTCAAAATTGGGGTCCCTGGGTCCAAAATCTTCGGCCAAACCCGTCTGAACAGCGGTTGCTTCATAGAGATTCCCAGCTCATTGAACATGTTCATCCCCAATAAATTAAATTGTATAACCGTATAACCGACTCATCATCAACCACCCATCCTTTTCCAAACTATAGTCAATTATATCCAATTTTTTGAGGATTAAAACAGGATTAAAACAGGTTTTTTTACCCCAAACGATGGGGGTCAAATCTCCACTGGTCAGGGCTCCCGGCAAGTTGCTCCTGTTGCTGCTGCAATCTCTCCAACTTCTGTTGCAGCTCCTGTCGTTTCGCGACGCCAGGGCCGTCATCGCCATTGACGCGCGGGGTTGCCTGGGCGCTGCCGATGTGTTCGTGGCAGCTTGGGGTATCCCAGCGCCGATGAACCCATCATGTTTGGATTATTTATAGATTCTTGGTGCTTTTCCATTGTCATGTTAGATTGTCAAATCTCACACCCGTCACATCATTTCATCAACTGTATATGTAAACTGTAATATAGTACTATAGTGTTTAATGTATATAAATTAACAATAATTAGCATACAATTTAATGTATATATGTATATATACAATATACACATGACGGACATGCAATCGAGTAAGACATGAACTTGTTCCACAACCTGTATACCCACAACGTGTTGCCTCAAACAGGACTTCCTGCAACTGCTGTCCCGCTTGAAAGAAATGGCACTACTTCAAATTCTTCAGACCAGACAACACGTCGGCGCTGGGTATCCTGCTTCAGTTGACCTCGGGAACGGCGAGAAAGATGATTCACGGGGTGATCATGAAAACCATGCGATTGACAATCACTTCGTCCTTTCATGTCCTTTCTCTCTGAAAAGGAACGCTACAGTAGGCAGTATGGTAGTAACAGTGATTGTCCTACTTCCTTACCAGCCTAATGAATTTTGTCAACATCTGCATATTTTATGCCTCCAAAGGACCCCAAAGAGCTCCAATTTTTTTTGACATCTGCCATGCACCGAGTTCGGTCCACGTCTGCCAGGGTGCGAGAGTTGCTTTTCCTGCTCTTGCTCCAACTCTTGCTGTATCCTTGGGCGCATCTCGGGCATTGGGAGAAGACCATGAAATTTTTAAACGCTGATGAATTTGCTCTTCCAGTAACGCATATAACAATCCAAGGAACGTAATATGACGTTTCTTCCCATAGGAAATGTACACAAGATCGAATCCTGTCGGATAAACACGGCTATATCACTCATGTTATATATCACCAAATCCCACGGCCCAGATTCACGTTTCCCAATATGTTTCCCAATACTGTATTCTCACATTTCCCGATATATTTCTCAATGTTTCCATGTTTCCGATTGTTTTTAACGAATATACTAATATACTATATAATATAATATATATATATAAATGGCTTTGTCTGACAATTTGTGTATACTTCGCAATGGTTCTTTTAATGGATCATTTTTACAAACCATCAAAGTTCGGGGTACCCTGTCGAAACACTTTCCGTTGGGAACCCAGCTGTTGTCGTCGCTGTTGAACCTGCTGCTGCAGCAGTGCATGCTGTTGACTTAGCTGCTGCATCCTCAGCGTTTTTCGTGTGGCGTCCGCTAGCCATGGACAATTCCTCCCGGCAACCCTGAAAAAAATCAAAAAGTGAAAACCTCGTATAATATTTACAATTATGATACATGACTTTTCCAGACTTTTTAGGGATTATTATTACTAAATATATCCATTTAGAGATGGGTTTTCCCGTGAGAAATGTGGGTTTCCCACTGCTACAAGATCTCCCAAAATCCGGGGAATCGGGCTGCGCTTGTATCTGTGGCAACATTGCCGGAGGAACCAGCGACCTTGGTATCCACAGCTCCGAAAAAAAATCCAGCCCTTGGTCAACTGTGAGACAAACCAATATTATATGTAATTATATGATATTATATGTACATCTATGCCTCTAGGATAGGCTTGCATTTGATGTCCAATTCTGCTGGTGCCTTTGTGATTTTCGCCAAAAAGGCTAATGCCATGGCTGCTAAGTGATATTTGATGCTGAATTCCATCACATGTCGGATTCTGCTGACTGTCCATGTACTCAATCGCCCACTTACATCCACTTACCACTGTCACCAGCTCACAGTTCGTCTTCTATCACGTTCTGCTTGACGATCGACAGAAGCTTCCTTTGCTCAACTTAGTAAATCTCTGCATCATAGAATTGGATTATGGGAAAATTTACAGGAAAGCCCTATATTTGATGGTAAAAACCATGGTTTCCTGTAAATTTTCCCTTAAACCAATCCAGTGACTGCACTAAGGCTCAAACTGCTGCACCTGCTGCTGCAAGTGCTGCATCTGTTCCACCAACCGTGCCTTTGGCAGGACTTTGTGGTACTTTCAAACACTGAAAGCGATAGATATGTCGGTATTAATAATGTCAATGTATATAATATGTATAATAAATATGATTAAATCTGAACTACTATTATTATCATAAGTATTCTGTTACATGTTAATACATGTTATAGATGTATTCATCATGAGAGAATGATGTTGCCCAGTTCTCACCCCCAAATCCCTGACCTCTGCTTGGGTTTGAAGCAAATGTTGGCCACGGGGATTGCCCGTCTAGAAGCTAAGCGCGATGCCATCTGCTCCTCAGCTCGCTTCTCCAAGTCTTGCTGCTCTTGTAGTAGCTGACGCCTCAACAAAGTGTACTGCTTGGAGAAAAACATAGAAAAACCATTGATGTCAATGCAGAGTATAGTGTAGCTGTAGACAGCCATGAAACAATGTTCGAAACCCTCTGTCATTCCAATATACTGGTTGGTCATTAGGGATTCCCATCATGATGATCCCCAAATTCCAGTGATGATCCCCAAATTCTATCAAATTATTGGATATTCTAACCCCTTACAGCATCCACTTTTTTGATGGTCCTCAGTGCCCAACTCCCTTGGTGCTGGGGCTGCTTTGGCCGGCCTCAGCTGCATCAAAAATCACGGCTGTTCTGGTAAAAAAAAAACACGGAAATATATGGCTAACATTGGCTAACCATATGGAAATATATGGAAATGATGGAAATTTAATGAAATTTAAAACCTCCGGAGATCTAGATGATTTTCCCAATTCCAATGCTCATTTATAGGGGAATTCACATTGCAATGTTTGAGTACCGACACTCAAATCCAAAGGGCCCTTGCTGCCCTTGCTTTTGGCAAGGTTGAACCATGCTGAACCAGTGGAACACACAGTGAAGCCGGTTCCAGTGGAACACAACTGAGACTCAGACGGCACAACACGCGGTGGCACCTGGATCTGGAAACATCCACGGGGATACCATCTCCAGCAACCCTTCCTTTAGGCGACGGCAAAAACATTCCGAAGTGATGGGACATTCATCAAACGCTAATGATCAGATGCTACTGTAATTTGTCACACTTGTGATAGCCAGAGCTTGTACCTCGACATGTTGAAGAGTCCATGAAATTTGGCGACATGTGCCACACATAGACCAACAAATCATGGTATATATTGGTATTGGTATATCATGAACCACCGTTGCCATCCACTCTAGGTGTCCCTGCCACTTGGGCGGCCTTTGGCACCTGGGGCGCTCCCAAGTCTTCAAAGGATATTAGATGGACGCTTCGTGTTCGCATTGAAGATGAACAGATTTGTAGGCGTATTCACCCAGTTTGAGTTTGAGACTATGCCGAATTTAATCTATTGGTTATAAGTTATAGATTTTCCCATGATCAATCATTTATGTTTGTCAATTCCCCTAGTTTGAGAGCCAAATGACTCCACGCCTGGCCACTCCTTTGCGGCGCCAGCGGCGCCAGCGGCGCCGCCTGCGGCGCCGGCGCCTGGACACCAGAGCAAGCGCCTGCAAGGCAGGGATCGTGCAGATCTTACAGCATCCTAATAGTCATACTACTGATAATACAAATCTAAATATTAAATAGTATCTTAAATAGCGGCTCATGTCACAATTCACCGGTCTGTCAAAACTGCCGATGAGTTCAGCCCTACCAGGCCTTGATCTCCCGGCCCTTCTTCCCAGGATCGCTTTGGCCTGAGGGCTTTGCAGTGACAGGATGCTCCTTTCGTCTTTGTTACCTTTGTATGTATTGAAAACTACAGCTAAAGCACTTTACCTTATTCAATTTCTAATGTGGAATAGGTTGTTATGTTGTTTCTATGGCACGCGGCTGTTTCAACCTCACAAGCATTACCAAAGACCCAAGAAAATAATCCTTGTTCTTCTTCAGCTGACATCCCTCGCAAATCATTGAAAGCAAGCGACATCCGCAACGCTGATTGGTGGATAAACTAGTGACGTAGCTGGCGGCCATCCCACCCTTCTCCAAACGATCTAGGGCAACGACACAGCTGGAAAGGCCCCCTGACAACGCCAAGCCATGTGGGACTCTCTCATTCTGATACGCAACGCGATTTAGAGATCATTGACCTTGTGCCATGAGAAAAATAGAAACATATAGAAACATTCCCTGCATTGCTCACTGGTTTTCCTTCAATTTTCCCATTTCGGATTAACAAAGCTAGTGATGGCAAAGCGCCAAAGTAAGGCATGGCAGAGCCGCCATTTTGGATCCGACCCTGGAAGTGGATGTCGTGTCAAAATTGTGGTGCACTTTTTGGGACCCCCAATTTGGGGTGTTTGTAGATATAGTAAATCCATGTAAATCCTACGGTATTGAACTTGGGAATTTGGAATGATAGAACAAACTAGAACAATCGAACAACCTTATATTGTGGGAGATAAACAAAATATAACAAAATACAATCCCCATCTCCCTGCACTGTGGATCACTGTGGATCTGCAGCAAACCACCGAGGCCCTTGCCGGTGCAGAACCAGGAGGTGGTGTACCTCGTCACAGCTGGGCAATGCCGGCAGTGCAACTAGTGGGTGAACTTCGTAACCAACCAGCAACCAAAGGGGATTTACCGGCAGAAAAATGATAAATCTATATAATATGTGTACGTATATATTATACATGTAATACCAAGGGTAAATAGGGACCTAAGTGTCCAACAACTGTGAAGATTGACACACATGAAATTAGTATGATAGACCATACCAACACGTTATCAAACATCGGTGGTGTAGTCTTCACCATCAAATCCATTGGTCAAACGATCCCTGCCTATGGATTTCGGTGCAGCTGCAGCTTGTGCTTCGGCTGCTCTCTTGCGAGCCTGAGACTGAGATACAACGACTTTCTGGTATCCAAAAGAGGTCCTTGAAAAGGAGGCTGGTTTAGGTCATATTGGATCCATATGGAGCACTTTAGCCCTCTGTGCCCAGTGTGTTTTCACCTTAATGTTGGACGCTGATTAGTGGCCAGGTTCGATTGTGGCAATTTTTCCCAAATTATTCTGAACCCATATATTGTTTTCAGGGTTTCACTATTGTGGCAAGAAAGTTTGGGAGACCATTTTTTTTGACCAAAAAACGGCCTCTAATTGCTGAGAGGCAAACTTTTTTCCAAAAGCATTTGCCAAATTCAAATGCCAAGCATTTCCCAAGGAGCCGATCCCTTATTAAACCCTTATTAAAGAACAGCTTTCCACAATTTTCCAAGGCCCTGGACCAGGAGAGGCTCCATTTCACTTTAGCAGGTTTGTTCGCTGGGTTCACTATTGTAGCAAGCTTTGCCAGAGCAAAATTCAAACTCCAAGCCTTTCCCAAAGGAGCCAATCCCTTATTAAACCCTTATTAAAGGACACCTTTTCCACAATTTTCCAAGGCCCTGGACCAGGAGGGGCTCCATTTCACTTTAGTAGGTTTGTTGCTGGGTTCACTATTGCAGCAAGCTGTGCCAGAGCAGCTCCTGGAAGCCCAGAAGAGAAGCAAGCCTTTTCCAAAAGCAATTGCCAAATTCAAACTCCAAGCCTTTCCCAAAGGAGCCAATCCCTTAATAAACCCTTATTAAAGAACAGCTTTTCCACAATTTTCCAAGGCCCTGGACCAGGAGGGGCTCCATTTCACTTTAATAGGTTTGTTGCTGGGTTCACTATTGCAGCAAGCTGTTGCCAGAGCAGCTCCTGGAAGCCCAGAA